TTTATGTTTTGCATAGCATGCAATGAGGGCATTGCATTAATTAAGTGTGGGGTAAAGGGTATATTGCATTAGAAAAACAAGCATTTGATTTTTCAAAATTTGCATTGCTAGTTTTCAAATTTTGCATTCATTAAGACTTGAAGCAATAGTTTAAGTTAAGAAAACCTAGATAATTAAAAGTTTTACTAGTACTAGATGGGATGATCTAATGAGAATCCAAATGTTTACCTAAGACAACACATGTTATATTGTATGTGTGGCATCCCATTTTTCTAGTGAAAAGTCATGAAATATGAAAGGTAATCTGGTAGCTTATATGATGTAATAAGTTTTGCAGTCTATACATGAAATCTATCCAGCAAAGCTTAAGTAGTCATTGCACTTAGGCTAATGCCTCTAACCAATAAAGGTTGAAGTGAAGGTCCTTGATTAAGCATGTAAGTATTTGAGTGAAAAAAAGTGAGATACATGTAAAAAAGAGATAAATTGCTAAAAAGTTAAAGAATTTAGGAGCTGTCATCACCACAACGTGGTGTTTTGACTTTTCCCGATTGACGTCGAAGACTTGCTAAATACGGGATAATTACGAATACAACATTGTGGTAGCCTCACCACATCGTGGTGGTCTTATTTTTTTGGGAAATTATAAATAGATGCCATTCTACGCGAATTGGGAACTTTTTGTTAAAAGATATAGATGATTTTTGAAGGCCAAGGATCTGAAATGAAGCTTGGAAGCGAAGGAATCGATTGTATCTTGGGAATTGAGAGTAATAAGGAAATAACTTCTTGATTATGATTTTATATTTTAGTTTGACCATGACTTTGCATATAGAATTCATCTTTATGATTTTACCTGCTAAAATCATGGGCTAAAACCCCATGACTTTCGTTTGACATAGATTTAGTTGACTATATGTCGTTTGATTTATGGATGGATTAAGTTTTTATTGGTTATTTGTTTAATTAGCTTATTAAAGAACCTCTTATGATTATGATAATTGTTAGGGGTGAACATGGTGCGGTTTGGTGCGATTTTCAGCTAAAACCGAACCGAAAACCGCAACTTTGGTTTGTTAAAATTTAGAAACCGCACTGTTCGGTTTTATGCATTTCGATTTTTATGGTTTTTTATTGCGGTTATTTTGCGGTTCGTTTTTTTTTTGCGGTTTTTTGTTAGTTTTTTTTTTTTTGGCCTTTTTACTAAAACTCAAGTAACTCAGCGAGTTACTTTGACTCAGATGAGGAGTGCTAATCATTTATTGGAGATAAACCGACACCACCACCTCTTGGTTTGAAATGAAATTACATAACCACTCTTCCAACATGTTCTAATGCATGAATATAATATAAATTTAATATATTGTTTGTTTCACAAGTACATACGATAATATCAATTAATGTATTCATAAAAATGATACTATATCACTAGTACTCTTTATATTTAAATGTTAAAAAATATCATAAACATTATTTGTTATTATAAATACCACTAAATATATGTTTAAAAATATACAATCATCCTCTGATAGATAAGATAAATATTTATATTTATAGAAATTTTAATTGTCATAAGTTTTTGGTTCTTACGAATATCAACATTTAATATATATATATATATATATATATATATATATATATATATATATATATATATATATATATATATATATATATATATATATATACACGCGGTGCGGTTCGGTTTTTTTGCGGTTTTTGCAAGACTAGAAACCGTACCGCACCGAGTATTTTCGGTTTTTGCAAAACTAAAAACGCACCATCGGTTTCGGTTTTTTGGTTTCGGTTTATGCGGTTTTTTCGGTTTTTTTGGTTTGCGGTTCAGTTTTTGCTCACTCCTAATAATTGTTTTGTCTATTTATTGTGGAGTTTAATTAAGTTTGTATGATTATCTTTCTTAATTGAGCTTGAATCTTATGATCTTTGTGGATTGCAAAAATTGTAGGACTAGATTTTTGGCTAAAACCTAGGGTTAAATAGAAAAGTAGGTAAATAATCGTAGGAGCTAATATATGACGACCTATCATATACTGGATTGAATCAATTAACTAGTCTGATTAATCTATTATAAGTCTAATTTTACTTGAACCGAACACTAGTAAGCTTGTTAGTTTATCTGCCTGATCACCGAATGAATGGACTTATTTGCTAAAGGATTAAGTTAATGAATATTAACTTGGTCATCTTAGGAATCGGTAACCCATTGAACATTAATCCATGCACTTCCATAAAATCAACCATATTAGCAAGTATATTGAAGCCAAATGAAAGTCTCTCAAATACCCTAGCTAAAATCATCTCTTTTTGTTTCTTGCTTTAGTTTAATAATTTGCTTAGTTAATTGTTAGTTTAACTTAGTTTATTAAGTTTCTATTCTTGCAAAACTAGAGAAAATCATTTATATGATTTTCTTAGTAATTTAGTTAGTAGTAGGTAAAAATTAGCTAATTATACCGCTCCCTGTGTTCGATATATGACTTTTGTGCTATACTATTTACAACAAGGTACATTGCCTTAAGTAGAAAGTAGTTACATTGGTAGGGTAAACCGTTGCGTAATTATTTTTCACATCAATGGTCTTACTACATACCAATATATTTTAAGTTTTTCCCATTCGATGTTTAATTTCAAGATAAGCTAATGGGAAAAACTTAAAATATATATGTATGTAGGAAAACCATCTAAACAGATGCGAAGAAGTTGTACGAACTGAATAAAATGTTTAAGACGACTTGAAGTAAAAAAATTACGTAAATACGTAAAAAAAATACAATTATACATTTAAAATACATAAACATTTATATAAAAAACTTTAAAAAAATACATAAATACATAAAAATACATATAAATACGTAATACATAAAGAAAGCTCATCAAAATACACAAAAATATGTAAATTACTTAAAGATACATATAAATTTGTAAAAAATATGTTTATACATTTAAAATACATAAACATATATATAAAAAACTTTAAAAAAAATACATAAATACAAAATACATAAAAAATAACACAAAAAAATATATATAAAATACATAAAAATGCATATAAATACGTTAAAAATATGTTTATAAATTTAAAATACATAAACAATGTAAACATATACATACACAAACTTACAAAAGGACATAAATATGTAAAAGTATATATAAATACATAATACATAAAAATAAGACATAGAAATTCATAAAACAATGTATAAAATACTTTAAAATATATATAAATATGTAAAAGAATACGTTTATACATTTAAAATACTTAAAAATAATAAACAAATACATATAAAAACCTTAAAAAAATACAAAAGTACGTAAAAATAGATATAAACACATAAAAAATACGTTTATACATTATGTATAAGTTTTGACAAAAAAATCTACATAAAAGTCCAATTATTTTGAAAATATTAACGATTTTATCCTATAAACGTCAAAAATGGTTAAAGTGAGTAAATTAACCTGTTTTTTTTTTTTTTACTTTTCTATTAAAAAGGTTAAAAAATCAAGAATTTTCTAATAAAAAAATAAAATTTAAAATTTTATTAAAATTTTTCCAAAAATATTATAACTTTCTCTTAAATTTCCTAACACTTTTGCATCCACGGGCACGGTTCACATAAAAAAAAGTTAGAATTCAACTTATGAGTTTTTATAAAGTGCAAAAACCATTTTTCTAATTTTTTTTCTTATATTATCAACCTTTTCTAATTTTATTTGAATTATATTAATTATTATTTATGTTATGATTATTATTATATTATTTATTTTATTTTTCTAAACCTGGTTTTCTGGTTACGATTTTATTGAAACATAATTCAAAGTTATTATAATCATTAAAATTATAATTATCATATCAAATTAAATTTATATAATAGTATACAAATTATATAAATTTAATTTGATATGATAATCATAATTTTAATTACCATATCAAATTAAATATATATATATATATATATATATATATATATATATATATATAAAAAGGTAGTTTAAGAGTAGGATATATTTACCATTTTAAAAATATATATATATATATATTATATATATATATATATATATATATATATAATATATATATATATATATATATATATATATATATATATATATTATATATATATATATATATATATATGGGATACTTAAGAGGCCTGGTAAGGTATCGTCAAAAGGAGGGACCAAATATACAAATTAGACATTTATAAAATCCCGCCATAACCTCTCTTCGTCTTCCCATTCTTCTTGTCATCGGCGATCTCTTCGACTCCCATCCACTGGAACCCTGTAACTAAACCATAAGGTTTCCTTTCAAACTTTCGATCATCTCAAGTTCATGAATCTTACTTGTGTTAACAGTTGATCGATCGTAGAACTTACTAAAATGTGGTTTAGTTCAAGTTTGGATCTTCGTTTATATACTTGCAAATGTTCATGCTTATATAACCACTTGTGGATCTTAACTATTGATATAACGAAACCAAATTGGCAATCTTTTTTGCATGCTTTGGTTATTGTATTCGATTAGAAGCTTTGTTCTGTTTCCATCACTTTGATGTAACTACCTTCTTTACTTCGATATTATCTGAATCGGCATAAAACCAGATCTTATTTCATCACTTTTTATCGATGAATATAATAAAACCTTTAGTTTTTTCAATCACGAAAAGAGGGGTAGGCAGATATTGAAACTGTCATCATCATCAGGTGCTTAAAATAACGAATTTATGACTCTAGTATATTTGGTTATGCATTTCTCTTTGCAGCCTTGTCGATCAAGCATCAAGCTTGGAGGAATTTATCAAGAGATGAAAGTCATCGCAAGAATAGCCGGGATAGAATTAGCGCTCTTCCTCACGACACAATTGAAAAAATTCTAACTCTAATGCCGATTCGAGATGCATTGAGGACAAGCATTTTGTCAAGGAAATGGAGGTATTGTTGGACGACAATGGCAAAACTTGTATTTAATGACAGAAATGGAAATCAAGAAATTGATGAATATAGGTTTGTCAAAGCCATTTTCCACGTTTTGTTGCTACACAAGGCTCCGATTTTGGAATTCAGTCTCTTTGTTAATACAGAAATTTTTAGCGAGATTGATCAAATAATACTTCATCTTTCAAGGGATAATAATATCAAGAAATTTATCTTTAAGATTTCGGGAACCGACTCCTATTTGGTACCCAGTTCGTTCTTTTCATTGCAAGGATTGGAGCACCTAGAACTCTCATATTGTACTTTTGAGCTTCCAATAATGAATAGGGTATTTAGTAGGTTGAAGACCCTGCGCTTTTGTCCTGTTTGTATTGCTTACGAGATGCTTTTTCAGCTCCTTACCAATTGCACCATAGTTGAGGAATTTACTTGGGTAAGGCGCATATAACTACTTAAGAAACTCTTCCAATAAAATATTTCTTACATAGGTATTTCGATGCAGCTTATAAATGATTGGATAGACGTAGAGATTACTGAGTATGAGTTGGTTGAACTGTTTAGATGTTTACCTTCAATTCAGATAATACTTCACTTGATTGTTTTATCTCATCGTGTTTTAAACTTTTAATCTTTGTTTTGGTATTTGGTTAAAGCCCTTGGCCACATAAGCTCCCCATTTCACTACCCCACTTGAGAATACTTGTTCTTGGTGTGTGTTTCGATGATCTTTCGACTGTTCTATGTGTGATCTGCAGCTGTCCAAATTTGGAGAAGATCAAAGCGGAGGTAAATATCAACGACTACATACTATCACATATGGTTTAATAGATCTTTCATGATCCTACTTACAATTTTTGACATGTTTTGATCTGATTAGATGTGTTGGGAGGCGGTGTTGTCAAAAAACTTTCAATAACTTGCATGATATTCAAGATTATTTGGGCCTCAACTTGGATCATCTTAAAGAAATGGAGATAACAAGTTTCACTAATCATGCTCTTGAGATGGAGTTTGTGAAACTTGTCATGGCTAAGTCACCTGTGCTAAAGAAAGCACTAGTAGAGCTCCATATATCTGTTTATGTTGATGAAGAAGTCGAGATGCTTCGAGATTTGCTACAGATTCCATTAATTTCCACGTGCATCACCAATAACAAAGTTTATTATCAAACGACCTAAACATTATGACCGATATAGGAATTGAGCCAAATAACGTTCTAATATGCTAGATTAATTGTGTTGGTTTAACTATTAAGGATTGTCAAAGCAGAGTGCGTTTATTGTCTTATATTGAACTTGTTTATATTTCTTTTTGGGTTGATCACGAGTATTATGATAAGTGCTACTTTTTTTTTTTTTTTTTTTTTTTGTTCATTAACTCATAGTAACCACAAATTTTGATGCTCGACTCTACAAAATGTAAATGTTATATTATGATTGCCTTAATGATGATGTAAAATCAACTTTACGGGATGGACATGCCGTCAAAAGAAGACGTTACTCTTTTACAGTTGTCTAAGGGGGCATTTAGTTTGCAGAATAATTCTATAAGGACATTAAAGTTATAACAGTATATCAAAATAAATTAATTAAAACAGTAATATAATAAAAGATATACAAAAAGGGGAAACTTAGAAGGACCATGTAGTGAAGTATCGTCAAATAAAGGGACCAAATATACAAATTAGACATCTATAAAACCCCGCCATAAACTGTCTCTTTACTTCCCATTCTTTTTGTCATCTGCGGTGTCTTCAACTCCAACCCACTGGAACCCTAAAGCTAAACCATTTCAGGTTTCCTTTCAAAATCCATGAACCTTAATTAGTTGTGTTAACGGTTGATATAACATCGTAGAACTTACTAAAATGCGGTTTATTTGAAGTTTGAATATAGTATACTTTCTTCCATTTGTTTTCAGGTAATATAACTACGTGTGGGATCTTAACTATTGATATAGCGAAATCAAATTGCTTATTGGCTATTGATTCTTTTCTTTTTTTCACACATGATTAGAAGCTCTGTTCTCTTTCTATTATTTTAATATAACTAAGGTGCTCACTTCGATATTATCTGAATTACTATTATAATGAATTGATATCAAACTCCAATAATCAGAGTGATGTATATTCATATAAAAACATATAAGTACAAAATACAACAGACTTTCCTATGATAACGAATTACATGAATTTAAAACTAATCTACTAAATATCTAGTGGCTAGAGTTTTCGTTTGTATCTCCCCTTCAAGCGAGACGATGGTAGACTAACGCATAGCTTGGCCCTGAAGTACTCCAATAAAGGTCTTGGGAGACTCTTTGTGAAAATGTCAGCTACTTGTTGAGTAGTGGGAATAAACTTAGTATGCAGCTTTCCAAATTGCACTAATTCATGGAGAAAGTGATAGTCAAGGTCTATATGTTTTGCTCTTTTGTGTGAAACAGGATTTTGACTTAAGAAAAGAGCACTTTTGTTGTCACAATAGAGACATGGCGTAGGAGAAATGGGAACCTATAACTCACTAAGCAAATGAGTAATCCATATAAGTTCAGAAGCAGTGTTCGCCATTGCTTTATATTCAGACTCACAGCTAGATCTAGCGACTGTTGGTTGCTTTTTAGCACTCCACGAGATAATGTTTCCTCCTAGAAAAATAGAGTAACCATACGTAGAATGCCGTGTCTCAAGACATCTAACCCAGTATGCATCAAAGTAGGCAACAAGGGGAATATGGGAAGACTGTTTATAAGTGAGACCATAAGACAATGTACCCTTAACATACCGTAGGATCACTACTAGAAAACAGCCCTTTAATGACGTGCAAACAATGACATACGCTGATAGAGGAGGCGCATTCGTGCGTGCCCTAAAAAGTAATGTCAGATTTGCAAAATTTGAGGGATAGAGGACACACATTTGTGCGTGCCCTAAAATTAATGTCCAAAAAAAAAATTACAAACATTTAGACGTGCGTTTTTAAGGGGGGGGGGGGGGGGGGGGGGGGCGGGGGAAATGAAAATTCTCTAAAATTCTAAAAAATTTAAGTGCCCGCTTCTCCACTCTATCCTCATCTCCTTCCATTCTCTCCCTCTATTCTCTGTGAAAACCCTAAGCCATCGCCATCTTATTCTCTGTGCAAACCCTAGGACATGATAGGGTTTTATTTTATTTTAAGCTTAACTTCTCCTTATTTACTCTCACTCTACCCCTTCCTCCTCCAATAAAAAATGCAGTAGGAGGCATTCTTAATGTATACGGCCATTTGCAGCTGCTTACGCCTCACCATCATCTCCGTCATACTTTTCTCATGCCGGCGTCTATATACCACCGTTTATATACCTGTCACCATTCTTTCTTCAAAGACAAACCCTTTTTTTGGGTTGATTTGCACTAGAGACGGCGCTCCTGGAGATGAGCTACTTCCTCCTCCAATAAGAAGGATGTGGGAGCGATTCTTAATGTATACGGTTGTTATCACCTTCACCTCCCCTCATCTATAACTTCACCGTGGTTCTGCACCTAGCTTTGCCACCGGTCGCTTCTAGCTTTGCACTCATTGGTATGGAACGCCACCTCCTATTTAGTTTGGAGTGCCCATGTTGGATCACTCTTACTACTCTTATTCCTTTTCCCTTTGCCGCCACCTCCTGCTGTGCACCGTTGCTTCTCCGAATCCTCTACCGCCACCTGTTTCTAGCTTTATTACCCAAACATTTTGTAACACCGTAAATTTCAAGACAAAATTTTCATTTAAAATAATCATTTTATTCTTAGAAACACTTGTTTAAAATCTCATTCATAGTCGATTTACAAAACATAACTCCATTTTCACTTGCATAGAAAACCAGGATCCTCCAAAATATAACTCTTTCTCTGGTGTGTACAATCAAGCCGGTGCCGTCCCGTGATACTGAAAGAAACCTGAAAAACATCACATAAAACACTGTAAGCACGAAGCTTAGTGAGTTCCCCAAAATACCACATATAGCACATATTAGCTACTCGAGGCTATAACTCTGTGGGTCCGTGCACCCAAACTCTATGAACCCTCAGGTTCTAACTCTGTAAACATGCACAACATAAATCACGTAGAAATAATGCAGTACAACACATAACATACATAGCACACAAATACTCTATCACATAACTCTGGTTACCTACTCAAGGTAAAGTATAGTGAGAAGACTCACCTGGCAAGAAGAAAGCAGATATCCCCACACTTAAATCTCGAACTCGCCACCGCCTAACACGTAAGGCAAAAACTCTCATGAATATAACTCTCGAGACTAGAATCAATCCTCTCATGGCACCCTCTTAAGGGTAAAAGACTATTTTACCCCTCTCTTGGTCCAAAGGCCACATCGCTGTCCAATCCCTAAAAGTTAACGGTCAACCCTTGGTCCAAATCAAAGTCCTCAGTCAAGGTCAACCCCTGACCGACCCTACTCGCCGAGTCAACCCTGTGACTCGTCGAGTTCCCATAATCAGAACTTCACTCAATCCGCGACCTAACTCGCCGAGTCACCCCGAGACTCGCCGAGTCCAACAACTCTGAGTCCACCCCACACAACTCACCGAGTCATCCCTCGACTCACCGATTCTCGACTCAACCAGAGAATATTTGGGACTCTTCGACAAGACTCGTCGAGTCCAAGAACAGACTCGCCGAGTCTACGGCTATCTTCAACCTACTCGCCGAGTTGTTCATACAACTCGCCGAGTTCCAGGCCATCTTCATCCAACTCGTCGAGTCCACCCATGTGACTCGCCGAGTACCACCGGTCTGAATCCATTCAGAAGCACTCCAGGCCATGCAATTGATCCAAAACATAGATCTAGTCTCCTACCACTCCTCCATCACGTAAAGTGGCAAACTTTACGTGAATCCAAAGAGATCTAAGCCGTTTGCACATTGGGCTAGGGTTTGGGACATGTAAGCTTCACTAAACACTCCAACACAGGGACTTTCATGCTCTCTGATTCTTCGCCCTTCCAGATCTGAGGTAGCAACCTCAGATCTAACCTCTAGACTTCCCATTACATCCATAGACAAATTCCCACAAACCCCAAAATGAAGAAACAACATAACAATAGTCCAATAACGAGATATTACCTCTAAGAGATGCCCCAACTGCAATGTAGTTCGAATCCAAGCAAAGCCCCTTGCTCCAAGCCTTCAATCTCCCAAAATTCCTTCAACAATTACTTCTTCAAGCTCCAACCCACTCAACAATGGTGCTTCTCCGCGATTTAGGTTTTTTCTGGGGCTCAAGGGGTGATAAAGAGGCTGGGAGGAAAACATAATAATCTTTATATAAGGCTCAACCCCGAGAATTAGGGTTTTCTCCATTCAGCGCCTACTCGCCGAGTCCATTACACTGACTCGCCGAGTCGGCCACTTAACACGCGACCAAGTCGTGACTCTACTCACCGAGTCCGCACATGGACTCGCCGAGTCACTCTTTCCCAATTTACTCTTTTAGCCCTTCAACTCTACTCTTGATATTTCGGGATGTTACACATTTGAGGTTTACTTTGGTTTAGGTGCGATTCTTCTTCATTTTCACATCGTATAACTTTATCTTCACTCTAATTCTCATCTTTTGCATTCCGATTTTATTTAGCCTTTCAAAATCGATCTCAAGGTCGATTTTGCATGTATTTTGACTTTAATCAATTCACTTTGACATTTTACTTTAATCTATTTTAACTTTAATCAAGGTCGCTTTAGTTTGATTATGTGATACTGGTTTATTTATTTATTAAGCAATTCGCTTTCATATTTGGAAATTCAGGGGGTTTGACTCTTTATAGTTTAAAGGAGGAAAGAACCTGTACTAAGGTTCAAATTTAACGATTTACATAATTGTGAAGGGGATATGTCGATTCACAGACTAGGCAGCGAGACCAACATTTGCACTAGTGAGCCCGAATTGCAAAAGAACCTAATCTCACTACATCAATCACAAAGCACCAGTCACCAGGTTCTCTTCAACTGCTAGGTTGAAACTGGAGGGTACACGGTCCTTGTTTTCTACAACCGTATGATTGAAACTTCTCTCTTTCTCTTAGATTGTTTCCTATTTTCATCTTTCGTGCGTGTTGATATTTGACTCAATATACTGATAAAACAATTGAATTTCTTTTCTATTTGGGTGGTGTTTCTTATCAGGCTCTTTATTTTTATAGGAGATATATGATAAAGGAACTAATTTAAATCATACCCTAAACCTTTACAAGAAGCTTATCTTTGACAAGCTAATTTAGTACATTT